CTTCCTTCCTTCCTTCCTTCCTTCCTTCCTTCCTTCCTTCCTTCCTTCCTCACTCAGGATCTTTCCCTTTCCTTTCCCCTTCTCCCTTCCTTCCTCTCCTCCCTCCCTCCCTCCTTCTCCTTCCCTCCTTCCCTGCCTCACTGCTCCTCTTCCTTCCCCAGGGACCCAGGGACCCTGAGAGCCACCGCCGGTCACTGCATCCCTCACGGCTACAAGACAAAGACTTTCCGAACCCGGACCGGGCAGCCCCGCACCGTCTTTGTCATCGAGACCTGCCAGTGTCGACCCAAGCGGTGGGCAGCCCCTGTGCCGCCCTCCCCGTCCGGAGCAAAGAGAAATGACGGCCCCTAAAAGCGCCTGAACCCTCCCCCCCCGGAAAGAGAGATTGTCCGGTGTATGAATAAAATCCATCCAGAACAGGGGGGGCCCAGCTGGTCGGTTTGGCGTCCTGGACACCATCATGTGATGGAGGAAAAGTTGCCGAGGAATTTCGCTTCCGCCTCCAACGGGGCTGCGCTGTCTTCTTGTGTGTGGGGGGGGGTTCTGCAAAGACTGAGGCAGGGGCAGGCCAGCTCTTGCGATCGTCCTTCATGGGGTAACCCCGATCTGGCTCTCTATTCACACAACCTCTTTTCTCCAGTTTTAATCCAGGCCTTCGTCAAATGTCATTAAAGACAAACTTGTTTTAAAAATAAAACTTATTTTAATGCAATGATGGGAATTACTTTCATTCTCAGCCAGAACTAATCTTAAACAGTTCCCCAAGATAAGCACACGCCTTTCAGTGCTGGGGAATGCTGCCAACAACAGAAATATCCAAATTAATTGTAACAGTACCAGAAAAAAAACCCAAAACCCAAACAGAATACACTGGGCTTCAAGAAGGACTTGGAATCTATTGAGCTGCTTTGCTTCCTGCAAAGGGTTCTCTACCTTTGCCTGTCCTTTATACCTTACAGGAGGGGCCATCACCTCCCAGCCTTACTCCAGAGTTGCCCCTTTTGTCTCAGCTGCTCTCGCCTTCCGGCAGCTCTGCACATACGCGCACTGGGAACAGGCTCCCCTCGTTCCTCTTCCTCGCTGCTGTCAGACTCCAAAGGCTCTGGAGGCAGCACCCCAACCCCAGAGGGTCTTGGCCCCATCCTTGCATTGGATGCAGGACCCTCGTCCGAGTCCCCCCCAGACTCCCAGACTGGTCCCCGTTCTTCCCCGCAGTCCCTGCCGACAAACCACAACGGACGGCTGCATTGGCACAACAATTCCAATTGGCCTAATTCTAACCAAGGGGGGGTGGACACCACTTCCCAGTGGCAGCCCAGAATGCACAATTGAAGCCCCCCGCCCCAACCCATATATGTCTTGCCTGGTTTGGGGGGTTTCTTCGGTTTTCGGGGGCCTGGGGGTGGGGGGGGGGGGGGGGGGGAAAGGCCTTTGGGCTGAAGGTCGGACCGGGAGATGGCAGAATTAAAAACGGGCAGCCTCAGGTTTTATTTCTTATTTCTGATCAAACCGATTGATACGGCCGTGCGTCCCTCACGCAAAGCGACTCGTTGCCGGCGAGGCATACAAAATGGCCGAGAAGAGAGGATCAATCCATGAAAACAGGATTAAAAAACCCGAGTGAAAGCCAAGGCCGGGGGTCCCCAAACTCGGCCATTTTTTAAGACTTGTGGACTTCAACTCCCAGAATCCTCCAGCCAGCAGAGCGTGGACCCCAAGCCTGAACGTGGCCGAGTTTGGGGACCCCGGTTGAGCCAGTCATCGGTCAGACTCTGGCTGGGTTCCTTCCGTCTTCTGGCCTTCAAGCCTTTACTGGCTGAGGAATTCTGGGAGTTGAAGTCCACCAGTCTTAAAGTCGCCAAGTTTGGGGGCCTCTGGCCAAGGGGGACAGAAGGAGGGAAGTTAAAAATAGTGGGACTGCCTCACATTCCCCTGGGGGGGGGGGGCACATCTCTTGGGGGTCCCCAAGCCAGGTTTAGAGGCGGCCCAGAAGATCAGCATCAACAAACAGACTTTTCAAGTCTATTTTTTTGGGGGGGACGGGACACACCTGGATAACTGCAGGCCTGCCAGGATGTTTGGGCACCGTCTGACCATGGCCCCCACCCTCTTTCCTGCCCCCCCATTTCTTTTGAGGTGGGGGAGTTTTCCTGGCAGGCTGCCGGCTCTTCTTTTCTGACCCAACTGGATGCCGGAGCTCAACTCAGGGACGGAAAGAAGGAAGAATTTTCCTAAAAACAACCCCCCGCCCCACTTCCGGATTGGTTGTAGAGAAGAGGAAACATAGAAAAAAAGAAAATACGGAATAGAAAAGAAAAAAAAAGATAGAAGAGTTGGAAGGGACCTTGGAGGTCATCTAGTCCACCCCCACCCCCCACCCCGCTTAAATGGTGTTGGCCAACAGGAATAAAAAACTAGCCTTTTGATGAGGGCCAAGGGGTGAATTCTGCGGGGGTGGGGGGGAAGTCTGGGTGATCCCTCCCCGAGGTTTAGGGGGGAATATTTCCTCCGCACCCCCCCCCCCCCGCAGATCTGCAGGGCTCCTCCAAGGCCAGGTCTCAAGTTCCTAGACTAGATGACCTCCAAGGTCCCTTCCAGCTCTATCCTGATCCAGTTGCCGCTGGGGATCCGATGGGGCTGGGAAGAAAAACAGTCCTAAGGAATGAAGCTTGCTGGAGGGTGGGGTGAGGGGGGGGCGTGTGAATCTTGGGGGGCTGGTGAGGGGGGGGGAGTGATGGAGGACCCCCCTCCTTCCTGGGTCCCACTCACGACATCTCTGGGAGTGAGGAGGCCAAGCTGGACGCCTTCCATGCAAACCAACCTTTGTGGGGCAAAACCAAGCGGTGTGGAAGCTGCTTGCACACCCGAGTAACCAGAGGCCATCTATCCGGGCTCCGTCTTTGCTGAAACAGGCCAGGAAAGGAGGAGAAGCAATTGGGGGGAGGCAGGTTGTGTGTGTGGGGGGGGGAAGCAGGTGCCCTCTGGAGTTCTACAATCCCTGTAAAACACGGGGCTCTCAGGGGTGCAGGAGAAAGGAGCCCTTGAGATTCCATGAGGACTAGAATCAGGCGGTGCTTTTTAGAAAGGCCCTCGGCACAGGGGCAGGACACTGTTTGGCCTCCAAGGGGCTCGGTTGCAGGGCCCCCCCATGACTCCAGCCACCCCCCCCCACCCCTCTTGGGCTGGGGTTGCAGGGCCAAGGGGGTCCCCGATCACCGGGGCTGCTCATATCTGGTGCCCCGAGAGAGAAAAGGGGCAGGGGGCTTTCTTCCAGGCCAGGAGGGTCACCATTTGGGGTGTCCCATGGAGGGCTCCCCCCTTTGCTGCAGATTCCCCCCCTCTTCCTCCCCCCAGAAGCCCCTAATTCCTGTCTGCCAATGGCCCCCCGCTGTTCCCCATTAGGTGCCCGTTAGCCCCCCGGGGAGAGCCAACCCATCTGGCTGGCAGCCTCCATTCCCTCAATAAACTTTGGGGAGGCTTATGGGGGGGGGAAAGGGGATTCTCCCCCCTCCTTCCTGCCCAGGCTGCCCAAACATGCAGCCACCCCTCCCCCCCTTTCTCCCCCCCCCCCTTCCCGAGGAATCCACACCCGTCCCAGGTGTGTGGACTGAGCTAATGGGATGCTTGGCACCTTGTTAGCGGGGCCCATTAATTCCCTGATGGCCCATCATCCCCCGCCCTTTCTGCTGGGGGGTATAAAGGGGGCCAGGGCCAGCCCAGAGGAGCTAGTCCTCTTGAGGAACCCCAGAAGCCCCAGAGGAGGAAGAGGAAGATGATGAGGACAATGAAGCTCCTGTCGCTGCTGCTGCTGCTCACCTGGGCACCTGCCTGGCCTGCCAAGCCCACCTGGGGCTCCGAAGACACCCGGAACCAGGCGCTGAAGCAGCTGCTGGAGGTCTTTGGCATCGAGGAGCCCCCCCAGGGTCCCCTCTACTTCAAGGAGCCCCCCCCAGTACATGGTGGACCTCTACAACACCGTGGCCGACGCCGATGGGGTCACCAAAGACCCCCACCGCCTGGCAGGCAACACCGTGCGCAGCTTCCTGGACCGGAGTGAGTGTCCCTGGGAGGGGGGGGGGGGCTCGGGGGGGGGGGGGGGGGGGGGGGCCTTTAATTCTCTCCCCCCCCCCCCCCCGCTTTCCCTCCAGGAGTTGTGGGGGCTCCGACCCTGGAAGTTTTTGGGAAAAAGGGTTTTTTTTTCCCTCCCCTGATTAAGCAGAGGGTTGGACTAGAAGACCTCTAAGGTCCCTTCCAGCTCTGGTATTCTGTGATTCCCCCACAGCTGGAGGTCTTCGGAGGCTTCCCCCAGGGATGCCTAAGGCCATCTAGAAGGGCCTGAGCCTTCTTGTAACCTGCCCTCCCCCCACTTTCCCAGCTGAGCTGGTTCACTTGAAACTGGGCTGGGCTCATCCTTGGACCCCGGAGGGGAATCGGATGGGAATCGGAGTCCCTCCGGACAAACTGGCAGAGCTGGGGGTGGTGCCACCTCCTGCCTCCATGCAGAGGCCCAGGCCATGCAGGGGGCATCTTCTCTTGGGCAGAGGGATTTGGGGGGCGGGGCTACTTCACCCCCAGCGTTGGCAACGGACTCAAAATCCTGGTGCTACCTCTCTCTTTTTTCCTCTTTCTCTCTTTCTTTCTCTTTCTCTTTTTCTGTCTCTCTTCTCTGTCTCTCTTTTTCTCCTTTTCCTCTTTCTCTCTCTCCCTTTCTTTCTTTCTCTTTTTGTCTTTCTCTTTTTCTCTCTCTCTCTTTCTTTCTCTTTTTCTCCTTTTCCTCTTTCTCCCTTTCTCTTTCTCTCTTTTTCTCTCTTTCTCTTTTTCTCTCTCTCTTCTGTCTCTCTTTTTCTTAGAGATTTTCTCCTTTTCCTCTTTCTCTCTCTCCCTTTCTCTTTCTTTCTCTCTTTTTCTCTCTCTCTTTCTCTCTTTCTCTCTCTTCTCTCTGTCTCTCTTTTTCTTAGATTTTCTCCTTTTCCTCTTTCTCTCTCTCCCTTTCTCTTTTCTTTCTTTCTCTCTTTTTCTTTTTCTCTCTCTTCTCTCTGTCTCTTTTTCTTTCTTTTTCTCCTTTTCCTCTTTCTCTCTCTCCCTTTCTCTTTCTGTCTCTTTCTTTTTCTCTGTCTTTCTCTCTGTCTTTCTCTCTCTCTTCTCTTTTACTTTTTGTCTCTTTTTCTCCTTTTCCTCTTTCTCTCTCTCCCTTTCTGTCTTTCTTTCTCTCTCTCCTTCTCCCTCTCCCTTTCCCTATGTGTGTTTGTGTGTGCCGCAAATTCTCCTTCCAATGTGAGATGCGCTTTCGATTTAATCCTTTCTGCCTTAAAATAGCCCTCTGCCGCTGCCCCCACTCAATTGTGCCCCCACTCAATTTTGCTAACCGGTGTGTGTCCCTCAACCCCCAAATCTCTTATCAAAGCCCCTGAGAATAACCTTCCATTTGTCTGTTTTAGCTCTCGTTGGTTCTCCTTCCCAAGGATTCTCTTTTCTCATTTCTTCCATTGTGAAGATTTAAATCAGGGGGGTCCAACCTTGGCCACTTGAAG